ATTTGCCAAGCAGCAGCATTAAGATTCACATTGACTGGAACGTGTACTCGTATGCGGCCAAGTCAAGGTGATCTTTGATCGCAACGGCCATTTAATGAACTGATCGGTTTCGATGTAAAGTCGTTTTGTGAGTATGTTATAGCTGGATTTACTGAGATCGATAGACACTGCTTTACCATTCATTGTAGCTTTATGAAGATCAGGAAAGTAATCGTAACCAATTATGTCGATTATATCAAGTGATGGTATTTTGAGCGAATCCTAAATGATCGTGTTTCTATCATGCAAGAGATCAGTAATAGCTTTCGTATATATAAAGCACTATTCAGTCACTAAGAACACCAGCGTTATTTAAAAAGTGTGAAAGTAACCACAAAACCTACTCCGTTATGAAGTACTGTAATATATAACGCGGCTCGGTCATCGGTCACAACAAAATCCAGTTGCCAACTGCTATAGTTATATGTGGATATGTCATCGATAATGCTTTCACCGTCATCCCAATAAAGTTTTCCCGTTGCAATGCCGGCTTCATCGTAATCTGCAANAAGGCACTGAATCGATTTAACCCCGGACGGATTTTGGAACCGTAATCAGATGAACGTACTGAATACCACGTTGCATTTGCGGGCAGATATGCGGATACCGTCGATACTCCCTAAATTCAAAAACTAAACATCGAAATCATCCAAAACCGTAACCATGTCAAGTATTATTCACCTGCTCAAGAACAGGAACAATCATCATCCCAGATCCCCACATAAATTGAAAGCTGAGTTCGTAGGTTTTTGGATCAGACGGAAATTCAAAGAAAATCGGTCGTACCACTGTTCCACCATACAGAGACGCTTCAAAATGTAAACTGAAATGAATTATATTAATTGCTTGAATACAAATGTTATCTCATAGCGACGTCCTTACCTGTATAAATAAGGCAGATAATGATATCTGAACAAATTGGCGATGCGTGTCGCAGTCGCTACAGAAGGCCATTGTGCAGGGTCTTGTGGTGGAGAAGTGTCATCGTTATGATTCCTGAATAAGTTTTTCAGGCAATTTGCAGTGACCGCTCGGAACCGAGAACGCATGTTTGAAATGATAATGAATGAACCGAGTATACATCACTGTTTGGATAGGAAACATTGTGAATAGCAGAATGATCGCCATTCACCTGGAAAACGAATGGAATGCTCCTAACTGCTGCCATCGTAAGCACAACTCCTCATTCGTGGCTCCAATGAATCCACAAATATCAGAGCCCACATACGGAATTCCGAACAGATTAAATTCTTGCACACCTATTACCGACGTTCGGAGATCAGCCCAATGAGCACTGTTATCTCCCAGCCAATGACCTGCATAATGACCGAGGGACGGGTATGAAGATCTGTAATACTTTGCCACAGAAATTGATGAAAACAATAAATTTTATTCACATTCAATTGAATTGGCAGTGATTTGATCTAATGCAGCGTGCACTGTCGAAAAATCGAACACTGCGAATGAGAATAAAACATTGTTTTCGTGATGAGTGTTCTAATTAAACCTTGATATAATCACGCCTCGTCTCCCGGTTGCCTCATGAATAGCTTTTCTTGTTGCGATTGCTTCAGAAAGACCGTACAAATTTTTGGTATCGTATACTCGTTGTGTGCCTCTGTTGCTTAATGCCAACATACAGATGGTTTTTGTTGATAGACTCTGCAACTGGGCGATCATCATTACAATGCTTGTCGTTTATGCACTACTGAACTGCAGCAGCATCGTTCTACAGTCAAACGCTTCGTCACTGAACAATCAAATAAATGTTTCGGTTGGTAAAGCAAATGCAATCAGCAATGTTCGCTTGAAGTTCTCACACCTTGAAGTAAATTTTCTCCTCATTATAGAAAAAATGAGAAAGCGAATCATTAACCAAAAAGTGTACAGTACAATTGGAATGGTGCACAACTTCTCGTAGAAATTAGTGAATAGTAACTGGTATGTGAACTTACACCATAATTAAAATAGTACACATTGGCAGTTTCGAATGGTGGTTTGTCGAATTCTGAATCACTTCCACTCAATGGACAATGCAGTGATTGCAAATCAGTTACATCATTCAGTCCAAACGATCCTTCATTCGTACGAAAATTGGCTGGTTCGTTCATGTCGATCCAAATGCCATCGAATGCCACCTGACGATTGCATGTTGTGAATTGCCAACGAATATTGCCAATGAAACTATCAGTTTTCCATCCATTACTTCATAATATACATTCGCCTGTGAACTCCGAAACGAAATTTTTCATAAGGCATCGGAATTGATTTGAGATTGAAAAATGAATCGTCAGGATTAAGCAGCATTACTGTCTTATGGAATAGTTTGAACTCGTTAATCCACCATTCAGCAGTTGCATTCTGTGGATCTAAAAAATCCGGAAAGGCTGTATGTCGATCGGGCCATACGAGACCAAGCATTATCTGAATATTTTATGATTAGTGGTGATTCGTGCTTAATCGCTAGTTAAAGTGGATGATGAAAGCAGTTTAAAGTGTCCTCGAAAACGTTCACAATTCTACTGCGTACCTTCGTGTTTTTGACGAGTGGATATAGCTGTTGAATCGAACGCGGTACTTGATCGAAATTTTGCCATTCAATGAAACTTGCATTCTGCAAGAAACATTTTTTTTAACTGTTCATTTAGCATCTATGATTATTAATTCAGTGCTGTTCTATGAAAGAATCTGAAATGCGATGAAGTTGAATGAAGAGAAACGTACCATTTTTAAGGCACGTTCAAAGGTGGGATAATCAACTTGAATGGCTGGATCGAAAATCAAATTGAGATGAAGACCTTTCCGATGCAGTTCGTCAGCGTACTCACCGAACGCTTGCCACTTCTGAACGATTTTTTTCTGACTGGCAAGCGAAAATCAAGATTCAAAAATCGAAAATCAAGGTATTTCATGATCAGGAACCGGGAAAAAATGAACATCTAATTCATCAGCATATAGATGAGAATGGATGGCATTTTCGAATATTTCTCCAACATGACAAAACTCAAAATGAACCACTTACATCACCCAATGTAAAGTCTTTATATCGGTCCATATAATCAATGTCTGCATAAGCCACGTCGATTGGAATGCCATTATCTTGAACTCTTTCAACTGTCTTTTTAACATCATCAAGATCCTTATATCCAAAACGACAAAGCTGAACGGATGGCAATTTCTAATGAATGACGTTAACAAAAAAAAA